CAGATTCATTCATGTAGTCATTTTTAATGCAATGACCACACAGTACACATGCTCACTCAACGGCATCTACTGCCCCCACTGACTAGTACAGTGAAGTCATTGTTGTTCGTTCACACATGTGCATTCCAGTCCACTCTCTTTCTGCTTGGCTGCCAGGTTACATCCATTTTGTGGAAGCCATTCTCATTATGTTAACAATAGCTGACTTTTTCTGGATAGACCTTGTATATCTTGTCCAAGGGGGTAATATCAGAACTATACTTTGAGTTCTTAAAGTACTTATGGCAACAAAATTATTCAAGAATTCTTTTTTTAAAATATATTTTATTGATTATGTTATTACAGTTGTCCTATTTTACTGCCTTTACTCCCCTCTGCCCTGCATCCCCCTCCCACCTGCATTCTCCCCCTTAGTTCATGTCCATGGGTTGTACATATAAGTTCTTTGGCTTCTCTATTTTCTATACTATTCTTAACTTCCCTCTGTCTATTTTGTACCAACTATTTATGCTTTTTAATTCTTGTCAAACACAATTGTAACTTACCAGCTTTTATAAACAAGGTTAGTCAAAAGCAAATTAGAGTCATAAATTTCTAATTTTTCCCACAGTGTAGATATTATCACTTTGTGGCTTTTGCTAAAACAGTGGAGACAAAGAGGAGCAATATTATTAAGAATCAAAGAAACCAAAGGAAGCACTATTTTTCAGCTTTATGTGTATTAATTTGCAGAAGTTGTTTTTGAAAATTTATAGCAAAATTTATGTTTGACTCACGTGTATGTAGAAGGGGAAGTACTATGGAGGAGGTGTGAATTTTATTACAACTCACTCTTAGGAACAGATTATTCTTTTATATATTTTTAACAGCACATGCTTTTTTTGTTAAATGGGAAAGATTTCAGCTCTAAGTGCCCAAATGATATTATTGAATCAAATCCAATGACTTTTTAAATGGAAAACAGACTAAGAATTTCTTCTTTTCCAGAAACATAGGAGAAGTTTTAAATTGATCAATCAACAAAGTCAAACAGAAATATTCCCTCTGAGCCTTCAATGGAGTAAAAAGTTAGAGATGGAATCCAGACAATTGGGAGGTCTTCATACTTCTAGATTTGCCCTTAATAAATGCTTAGTTCTTCATGTTTTTGAAAGTCAACCAAAATTAAATTGTATTTTTATCATACTACAAGGGGTGTTAAAAACGCATACTATACTTGACCCATTTCCTCAATGTTTTTCACTTTTCCTGAATAATCTAGATAATCATAATAAGCTCCGGTATCTATTTACTGTTGTGACAGATAAAGGGAAGACAAAGCAAAAAATACACACACACAGTCTGAATTTCAAATCTGAAAGAAGCTCTAAGAGAGTTCACTTTAAAGTCAGTTCAATTTATAGAGAACTGAGGCCCAGAGAGGCTAAGTCATCTGTGTAAACTGGTTTACTCTTTATTCATTCATTTATTCATTTGTAGAATATATTATTATTGAATATCTTCCCTATGCTGGATGCAAAGATAAACTTCAGCAGCCTTCAAAGCCTGGGACAGGGCTGGTCAAGAAAAGCAGCAGCACAAGGTAGCAGCTGAGTCTAGAACACAGTGCTTTACCATTTTCCAGTGGGAACACATTCAGCTATAGCCCAGATTTTCTCCAGTCTGCTTCTGGATAGTGATCACTTGTATTGCTGGTTGGATCTAAGAATGCCAAGCTCTGGCCTAACTCCCTGACTCTGAAAGTATACCAAAGGGACCAGGAATTCTAAATTTTTAACAAGTACCAGATGAATATAATAAGGGGGCACTAGCAGAATGTCACCTGCTGGCCAAGTTCAGTGATTGTCTACCTTTTATTGCCCTCTTTCAGTTGGTAAGCTCCTGATCCAATTGGCTTAAAAATTTCATGCCTGACTTTTTAGGTAGGAACCCATATCAGCATTTCTCAGTTAAGAGTCAGCAACAGAATTACCTACTGAGCTTTAAAAACAAACTAAAGAAGTCCTGGCCTCACTCAGACCACTTAATCAGAATACCTCAAATTCAGGCCCAGGATTTCTTTGCTTAAAGTTCTACAGAGGATTCTGATGAGCAGCAGCTTTGAGGACACTGCCAGCAGGGTCCTTTCAGGAATCTCAGCAAAGACCTTCCCACACAGTGAGGTATGGAAGGCTCGGGGGTACCACTGTGGCCCATAACACGTGCTGTTGCCATTATCAATCATATGCAGTCTTTCCAGTCACATGCCTGCCCATCATCTCAGATTCAGGTAGAGGGGGAAATTCCACAAAGTTGTTATAAAGTCAACTGCTCTGGGAGAGTGAGATTCACAAATTTTCCATCAAGACAAAGAACAAAGGAACTGCTGAATCAATAATCGTAATGCTAGATTGTGCGTTCTCCACACCATTTTAGTCATATCACACTTCTGTCCCTCCTGCCATCTCACCCACATGCCTTTGTATTCATTTATGCAACTGTTAGTGTGGTTGTTCTCACAGGATTGCATTAGGTTTACCTGAGCCTCATCTTTTCTGTCCATGGACTTGGGACCCCATAGAGGGCAGGGAGCTTGTTCCCAAGCTAAGTCCCCAACATCTGCATAGTCTTTGGATGCACAGATGCTCAGTAAGTGCTGTGCAATTGACATGGCCAGCTCTCAGTCCAGAGTTTTTCCCAACACCCCACAGGGCCTCTTATCCCTCACATGCATACAGTGATGGGCATTACATTCTGGAAATAGAAGAAAATAGACATCCCAAAGTAGCATCTCCTGGTACACTGATTTCTAGGGAACTCAAATTACTCAAGACCAAATAATATGAGTGATTATGTAATGTTCCACTGGCAGCTCTAACTCATACCATCAAAGCCAACAGTCTTCTAGTTTCCATAATGTATGTGTCTCTCTAGGGTATCAGGAAATACTTTGATACTTTTCAAATGGACTCCAGGTCATATTTTATTTTTATTTTCTGACCTAAATAAGGAATGAAATAAGGAATAAGTCTAGAAGAAGTAGAAAATAAGCTTTCTCCTTGCAAGAAGATTCCTATGACATTACTCATAAAATGCATAGCAAGCTTCATGCTAATAGCTTTTAGTTATGCTTGCCTAATGATGCCCAAGCTCTTACAGATTTGTTATGAGCCCTCTTTGCTTCCTATTTATTACTCAGCTATCATTTTTGTTGGTAATTAGTAATCCTTTGAATTCAATGTATAACTTGACAAGTAAAACAACCATAAAAAGTTCTTTTCTCAGCAAGGTCAAGATTATTCCCATTATCATTTATCATATCTTTGCTCTTTCTCTGTATTTTATTTTGCTTTCTTAAACTATATGATGGGGTTGTATTTTGGTGTTCTTGGATGAGTTATATCTGGTATTGGTACTTAGCTGCACACATAATAGAGGCTGGGTATTTTGTGTTTTTCAAGTATACCTTTCATAGTACTGAAAGTCATTTTTTGGTGGAGTAAGAAAACAGAGCACACGTGACTACTTAAGTAGATATTGATGCAATAATTGACTATTTAGTATCTTCATATTGGCTAAATCTAGCTCAAATTTTTGCTTTTTTTATTTGTTTTTGACTTTTAAGGCCATTTTCTGAACACATTTCCTATTTTTCAGTATTTGTAACAGAACCTCAGTGACTTCACTTGGGCTCCCCCAGGCCATGTTAATACCTTCATGTGTCTTTCAGCAACCAAGCCCACAGTTCTTCAATCTCCATTGGTTTTGAATGCATAGCTATCAAATGCATACTCAGTATGTGCTCTGAGGCATATGAATTTTAAAATGCAATAATCCATTAGCAAAAGAAAAGGTTTAGTTTAATGTATCCCTACAAATAAAGACAGCATTCCCTCTTTCTCTCTTTTCAGCTCAAACATGGCATCATTGTGAAGTACAGGTGCAGAGTCCTGAAGTCACTCTGTCTTTGGTTACTACAGAAAGGCAGTTTATTAACTAAAGCCTGAGAATAGAGTACATTTCTTCCATTATCCATTTATTAAGTCAACAAACCAAGTAATGACTATGATTTTTTCCTAATATGCAGCAGTTTCACACATTTAGCAGTATTATTCCTGGAACAGATGTGTCTTTTCAAAGTCATCTTTCTTTCCTATGAACATAGAATTTCTTCTTAATTGTATGCTTGTTAGCTGCAACTGCTTCAAAAGGTATTTCTGAACACACCACTGAGATTGCTCCATACTGAGAGCCAAGTGACATGAAAACCACAATATTATCAAGAATGTGAGCAGCCAGCTCCCACAACAAGCGCCCAATTAGCTCATATTCTTTGGCTAAATATACTCAGCAGCCAATGCAGTCATCCCAGGGCTTTGATTTCATAAGCCTCAGAAATACCTGGGAGTCATTTGAATGTGGCAGTATTAGAACCACAAAAAGATAAGCAGGAAGCACTTCTCATTCAGTCAGCAAACTGTAGAGTTTGACAGCAAAACACTGAAGGCTCTATCAAACTCCCTCCACGTTACTGTTTTGAATAACTAAGCACATTAACCAGTATTTTACTCAGCAGTTCCATTTATCAATAAAAAGCACTCACAAAGAATCAATATCTAAAGCACATTGGGCAACTACTATTACTTTTATGGTTTCCTCAATGCTAAGTGTTAACAAAGAACACCTTGCTACTATACTTTTGAAAGTCACAGATGGAAGCCTGCAACTAAACTGATACCACCTTTTTCATATAAAAAGTATAATGAGTTCTTGGTTCACCTTCAAAATATGGTTAGGTTCTTTCCCTGGAATAGAGTTACTCTGGGATCAAGTGACTGAAAAAGCATGGAGAGGAAATACAATGATTGCTCAGCAGGAATAACTCAGTACTGTTGTCCCGGCCTGCCTCTCTACCCATAGCAAGGTCATGGACATTCAGCATGAGCCCAAGTGGTTGTTCAGCAGCAATGACAGGCATGATCCTGGCACTCACAGTGTTTGTCTGACAGCTGCATGTGCTTCAGCCAGAGCTCAGCAAGTGATCTGCCTGGTTCTGCTCCACAGAGAAAGGCTTGCCCTGCAATTTCTCACTGAGTCATGAGGTCAAGTAAAAATTCCACCAATGTCTTTAAATAGTCTTGACTCCAGCAAGCCAACATGGGTGAGGATAGTGGAGTGTGCCTGTGTGTGCCTGGCAGGGAGAGCAGGTCTCAGTGGCTGCTGGAGGGGGAATTTAAGAGAGACTTCAGCTGCTGCCCAGTGACACTGGTAAGATCTCTTGCAATGGTCTGACCACTAGAGAGCCCAGGCACAAATGTGCTGATGAACCTGTGGTATCTGATGTTAACAGTAGGAATTAGCTTTCGTCTTTTATGAGTGGAAAATTTGACTGTGAAGTCCGTTTGGGAGATCACCTGTCCTATTAATAAATTATATGGATCCCCTTTAAGTGGGTCTTAGAAGGTGGCAGCTTCATACAAAAACTGGCCATGCTCAGAACCCACTGCCCCAGCACTTTGCTGCTCTTCCCCGCACAGGGTAAGGGAGGAAGGGGAGGAACTAGGGGTGATGGCTGCAGTGAATAGGGTTTGGCTGACTTCTCTCCGTCCTTCTCTTTGGTTATTGTTCCTTGTCTGTTGAGACACTGGGGCTCCATCGAGTCGACACCACCCAGCCCATCACTTACATTTCTCTCGAGAGGGATCAGGACTTGCTGCAGACTGTGGGAACCCTTGTGGGCTTCTGTCCCTTCACCACATTGTGAGCTTCTTGGTGGAAGAAGGGCTTTACTCCCCCCGGGTTCCCAACCCAGTGTAATGCAGAGAAGGTACTAACAAATATAAGTTTAACTGAATTAAGCCAAGGGTATTTAGAAGTTAGACAAGTCTTGGCAGCAAACCCCAATTCTGTCTCGATATTGCATTGTTAGCTATATTCTGTATACAAAAGTGCCAAGACACCCGAACAATTGGCTCTCCATTGATCTGTAGGTACTGCATGCTCTTCACTGCTACCTTCTCATTCTAATTCTTTAATTCTCAATGAATAACAGTGTCTTAGGAACGCTTGACAGCAGTAACATCCAATGACCTTTGTGGCAGAAACTCTGAAATTGGCACATTTAACTAACAGTTGTGTACTTTTATAATTAAAAGACAAAATAGATTTAATATTTTACAATGTTTTGTCCAAAAACCTTTTAAATGTCACTAAAATCATTTTTTAAATGTCCATATGTGAAAGCCAAGTGGCAAATATTAGTCTTCTCTGAATGTTAGGAAAGTAATTAGTTTTGTGTAATTAGTATTAAGGCTTGTCTACACCTTACCTCCTCTTTCCTGACTTTCAGTCATTGTTTTCTCAATCGTTATCTCATCCCTGGGAGGGCAGACCCAGCAAGGGGGGAGAAGTGAAGTGAGGAAGGATGGCAAGCAGGGGCTGGTGTCTTTAGAAAAGCTCAGGGACGGGGCTGTGGATGCAAGAGGACTGGGAAGAAGGCCGCAGCTGCACATTAAAATTGGTTTGTGCTTATTATCTGAAAGCCATCATGCCATGCCACTCACTCACCACCACATGTACACATGAGCAGCCTGCTTGTTACTCTCCAGTCATTTTAGGGACAAATTTCCTGTGATTGTGCCCCAGAACTTGAGGGGAAAGCTCCGGCTGATTTGGTCATCACCAGGAGAGCAGGGCTCCAGCTTGCTCTTTGGTCTCAAGTAATGCTTGCTCAAGGCTGACGCAGGAGCATGTCTTGCTGTCGTTACCTGGCTACAGGTTGCCAATTCAGAGGTTGGAACCAGATGTTGCCAACGCCTCATACCACACTTGGCACGTGCTTAGTAAATATTTAACTTTTGGATTCCATTGAATCAGACCTGCTGACAGCAATTATTTCTCTTTAGAGAAAACCAGAGTCCTGTTTCAATTTATGTTTAAAGTGAGTTAAACATGATATTCCAGGGGTTATTAGGAACATACAGAGTTAAAAACAAACACCTCTCTAGAATGGCATACAACTACAACTTAGCAAATATTAACATGAGCCTTGACTGACACGAACAGTAAAAGGAGAAAGCTTAGATTAAAGAAGTACCCAGTTGACGGAGTCTCAGTGAGTTGGCTAGTGTCCCTGCCTCCAGTGGCCTTGTCAGTTGTGTTTTTTGTCCTTCAGGTAGCTGACAAGCATCTCCAGGCCCCCCTCTACCAGCTCTGGCAGAGGCTTGGATAAAGGGTTATAGGAAATATGGAGCCCTTTGTCCATGGGGTTCCAAGCAATCTTTGCCAGTCTACACAGCAGGTAGAGTTCATCTGGGAGGGTCTGGATATCATTGTTGTCCAGGTTCAGCAGCTCCAAGCTGGTGAGGAGGCAGAGCGACCGTGGGAAGGAGTGGATGTTGTTGTTCTCGGCAATGAAAATCTGCAGGCTGCTCAGACACTGGATGCTCTCAGCGATGTTTTCTAGGCGATTGGAGCCCACATGCAAGAAATCCAGCTCTTTGAGTGCAAACACACAGATGGGGATATGAGCAAAGCAGTTGTTACTGAGGTTCAGCTTTTTCAGCCTGGAGAGATCTGCAAAACTGGCAGGCAGCTGGGAGAGACGATTGTGAGACAAACTCAGGACTTCCAGGTTCCTGCAGGCGCTCAGCTCGGCCGGCACCTCGGCCAGGCAGTTCATGTTGATGAACAGCACCTTCAGGCCCGTGAGGAGGCTGATTTCTTGGGGCAGGCTCTTCAGGCAGTTCCCACACAAGTTCAGGACCACCAGCCTGGTCAGCCTTCCCACCTCGGGGGGCAGAACCCTGAGCTGGTTGTGAGATAGATTGAGTTTCTGGACCTCAGACAAGCCCCACAGAAAGTCGGGGATGTCTGTCATTCCCTTGGTGACCAGGCTGAAGCTGATGTGGCACATGCCCCGCTTCAGCAGGGACCGGGGGTCCTTTCCTGAGAGCAGGGCATCGTCCCAAGGGGAGAATTTCTGCCTTTTCCGCAGGAGTGCCATGCCCCTGGGGCCCTTGTCCTTGGAACAGGCACTTGACTGCCTGGCCCCCATTACTATCCTTTCCACCCTCACTGCCCTGATGCCCAAAGGTTGGGATGTGTCCCACCCCAGCTGCTAAAAACCTGGCTGTTCCAGGCAGGGAGTGCAGATGGAGGTGAGAACAAGACGGTGGCCAGGCAGTCCAGGGCGCGGAAGAAGGGCAGAGAGGGTCTGGGTCAGATGGCCAAGACACGCCGCTGTGGCTGTGGACAGGCAGTGAATTTAGGTGGTTTCTCTCTGAGCAGCCGGGCTGTAATGATATACTTGTCCCCGCGGCTGCGGAACTGAACCGCCTGAATCCCTCTGTTTGCTACAAGGCAGCTGTCACTGTCATTCTACCCGGGTTTATCAGGATAGTGTGTGCAAACAGGTCACCAGGAGGCTTTATCTTACTGTTCCCTCTCAGCTTTTCCTGGGTACCACAGCTGAGCAGCGTGATTAACAAGCCCACCTCCAAAAAGAAGCAAACTGCATGAATAAACAGGCCATGCGAGTGTCCATCTACGTGGTTGTCGGGACTCATCGGGACTCCAGAGTGAAGCTGGACTAAGTCCTGCTGGTTGACAGAGTTTTTGTTTCCAAAGCTAATGATTGTCAGATGATTTTGTACACACTCATTTCAAACTTTTTATGTAGTTGTGGAAAATTAACAGAAGTAGCCTGCACACCTGGAATCCTTTAGGCAAAAGGTTTGTACATGGTGCTTGTCAGAGGTGACTCAGTGAGGAAAGAATGAAGGGGGTCTGGACACCCACTGCCATTTCAACCACAGAAGCTCTGGGGCCCTCTGTTTCACAGGGGGATTTTGAGTTTAGTAGGTGCACTTTATATGTTTGAACAGCCTCTTCAGTGGCTTCCTTAGAAAGGTACACACAGGGTGCTCACTGTTCTAAAAAAATTAATAGAGAGAGAGACCTCCCTGAGCATACACCTCTCTCTCCTTTCCTCTCCCTCTCCTTCCCTATCTGCCCTACCTTTCTGAATAAAAAAAGTTAACTCATATGTTACATAAATAAAGATAATGGTTGGTGTTATGTGCTGAACTGTGTCTCCTCTGAAATATCAAATGTTGAAGTCCTAATCCCCAGCCCCTCAGAATGTGACTACTTGGAGATTGGGCCCTGTGAACACAGGTCTCAGCAGAAGCCAATCCTGCTGACACCTTTATCTTGGCCTTGTACCTTCCAGACTTATGAGAAAACAGATTTCTATTCTTTAAGCCACCTAGTCTGTGGTACTTTTGTGCAGCAGCCCTGATACAGCTGGGAGGAGACAGACCCATGGCATTGGTAAAACCTATAAAAACAGGCAGTGATTCACGGACATGTCCCCTAAAGCAAGGAATACGAAGAAAAGAATAAACAAATGGGAGCTCATCAAATTGAGAAGCTTCTGCATGGCTAACAAAAACAGCATTAAAATGAAAAGAGAACCAACTATTTGGAAAAACATATTGCCAATGATACCTTAGACAAGAATTTGATCTCCACAATATATAAAGAACTCACATGACTCTACTCCAGGAAGACAAGCAACCCAATTAAAAATGGGCAAAAGACTTGAACAGACACTTCTCCAAGGAGGACATGCAGAGGATCCAGGGACATATGAAAAGATGCTCAGCATCGCTAGCCATAAGAGAGATGCAAATTAAAATCACAATGAGATACCACTTCACACTGGTCAGAATGGCCATCATAAACAAAGCAACAAACAAGTGTTGGAGAGGATGTGGAGAAATGGGAACCCTGGTGTCCTGTTGGTGGAAATGCAGGCTGGTGCAGCCACTGTGGAAAACAGTATGGAATTTTCTCAGAAAACTAAAATCTGCCTTTGGACCCAGCAATTCTGCTGCTGGGATTATACCCTAAGAGCCCTGAAACACCAATCTAAAGAACCTACTCACCCCAATGTTCATAGCAGCACAATTTAGAATAGCCAAGTGCTGGAAGCAACCTAAGTGCCCATCAGCAAATGAGTGGATCAGAAAACTATGGCACATTTATACAATGGAATTCTACAGAGCAGAGAGAAAGAAGGAGCGTATACCCTTGCAACAGCATGGGTGGAACTGGAAAGTATTATGCTGAGTGAAATAAGCCAGGTGGTGAGGGACAAATACCATATGATCTCACTTTTAACTTGAACATATCAACAAAAGAAAAAAGCGATAAAAATATAACCAGAGTCATTGAAATTAAGAACAATCTAACAATAGCCAGAGGGGAGGGGGTGGGGAGAGAGGGGAGAAGGGTTTTCAGGAACTACTATAAAGGACACATGTACAAAACCAAAGGGGAGGGTGGAAGTAAGGGAGGGAGGTGGGTTTGGCTGGGGTGAGGGGACGGGGGGTGGAGAAAATGCAGACAACTATAATTGAACAACAATAAAGTAATTGAAAAAATAGGCAATGCTTAAGGAGAGAAGCACTGTCAGAGTCGATGACCCAGGTTCTGAGAAAAGGGCATGCAGTTTAGCAAGGGCCAGGTAGGCTGGGAAGCCTGTGGGTGGCTTCTGCTGGCAGCAACCTGTGTGCGCAGCCCTCAGCACAGTAGTTGTGTGTCCTGGAGAACAAATTGGTCCTATGACTACGGTCTGAGCTCCAATCACTGACTCAGAAGCTCTAGCTGCAGTGTATGGGCAGGAGCAGCAGGAGGAGGTGTAAAGCAGCCCAGAGGCCTTTTCTCACTCCATCTGGCATTCAAAAGAGACCTGGCTTCTTTTGACTGAGTAAGCCCCTGGGAATCTTGGACAAAGGTGCAGACTTTGGAGTTTGTCTTTTAATTGAATACTTGAGTGTTCTATTAATCAGGAAGGGAAAAAAGTAATGTGGCTAAATTTGTACCAGAAATTTAGGGAGCAAAAAATGCCTTATATTTGCATATGGCAGCAGGGTTCTGCTGTTTTATAAAAAGTCAATGATGCTTCTTCTTTCCTTATTTCTTTCATGAGCATGAGAAATTATGCTAGAGTTCCTGAAATGTGGGGGAAAGCAGGAACTAGGATGGTGTGAACAAGAATCAACGGCTTTCTTCTTTGTGGCAATTCTCTTTTCCTCTTAACACATTTTCCCCAATAACAATTTTTTGAGCATTTATCAACAGCCAACCTTTACTGAATGTTTACCATGGGAAAGGCATTGCACTAGGCACTTTAAATGAAGGACAGAAGTTTTAAAATTATCTTTATTTCACACATGAGGAAGATAGCAAGAGCTCAAGTAACTTACACAAGACCAAGTCACTTGCCCAAGTTTAAGTACCCAGTCAATAGCAGAAACAGAATTCGAACCCAGTTAGTCGGGCTGCACAGCCCACTAAGACTGTAAGAGGACTCTGGGCTTAGCCCAGAGAGTGGAATAACTATAGCTAGACTATGTATTTTTCTTTTCAAGTTTCTAAGGGCTAGGTCTGGAGAGAACATAGATAAAGAAGTGACTACAAAACTACATGCATAGAAATAACTACATAATTAGGCACTAGCCCTGTTTTCTCTTCCCCATCACAACTAGGAAGAGCAAAAGTTATATCATTCCGGAAGACTTTGATGTAATGGATTTAATCCCCTCCAAAAATAGTTCAGTGCTTCTCCAGCAAGATTCTCATATATCAAATGCATGAGTTGTATGAATAGCTGGCTTTATTTCTTTTAATTTTTTGAAGTGCAGATACTGCCCACTTAGGTAACCATGGTGATGCAGTCAGAGCATGGGTCGGTTATGGACTCTCAGTCCCTGTCCTCATCTATGAAACAGGCCCCCCCCGCCGGGGGAATGATTTCTCAAAGTCCCTGCTCAGTAGGAGAGATGGATTCTCACTACACATGAGACCACTGTAGGGACGTCTAAGTCATGTTTAACCTCTTTTCTGGTGAAAGCATTCAAAATTCAAGGCAGCTTTTATTTTGCTTACAATGATGTATTGGTCCCTGGGGAACAAACAGTAACAGGGCTCCCTCCCTCCCTCCCTCCTTCCTTCCTGCCCTTCTGTCCTTCCTTCCTTATTTCCTTCCTCCATCCCTTTTTAAATAATTTTTTTAAGAAAAAAACAGTAACAGGGAATGCTGTTGGCTTTAGGATTCACTATGGAGACCACACATCCGACTTTTGCTAAAAGAGACTTTTCAAGACTCTCTGAATTGATTTCAGTTTGGAGTAAGTCTCAGAATGAGGCATTGTTGGACAAAGTTAAAAAATCTAATGCAAGGTAAGTTCTGTGGCTGTCTTTAAAACCCAAGGAAGTTACATAATAATTGAATGTATTTAGTACACTCAATGTACTCATATTTGCTACGCTTTTATATATTCCAATTGAACATATGTTTATTGAACACATAAATGAACAATTGACATTTATTATTTTTAATCTCAAATAAAATAAAACTGAAATGATGAGAGTATAAAATAATAGATTATGAAAACATCCAAAGCTACTCCTGAATTCCCACTAATGCAAATATGTATTGAAAACAATTGTTTTTATCCTCAGGATGACTTTTCAGTTTAACAGACATGTTATGTCTGTTAATTTTGGATAAAAGAAACATTCATGTTTAAACAATTTATTAAAATAACCATTTTACTGATTTGTAATTTTAAATAGAAATTACAAAAAAGTATGAAGCCAGATAATCCAGTTTACATTTTGCACGTGCAAATCTGGATCTTTATTCTCTGCGTATCATCTTTAGTGTATTTTCTTTTACCTCCCTAAACAAAAAACAAAAACAAAAGAAACAATTTATTTCACTTGTCACAACCCAGGTTTCCTCTAAAGCAGAGTTTGAGAGAAAAGTTATGGGGTGAACATTTTACTGAGGAGAACATCCAGACAAGCAAAGTGAGGGGGCCTGGGAAGACAGGCAGGGAGGGAGAGCAGCAGGAGCCATGCATTCTGAGCTGGCCTCAACTTTGCATCAAGCACAGCCTTTTGCCAGGTTTCACAGGCATCTGCAGAGAGGCTATATGAAAACACCATGTCTCAGGACAGCCCATGGTTAAGCATCTGTAAAATGCATGTAATGATGAAATCCACAGTATATAACGAAATCCTCTAATTCATTATTTCTGATGGTATATGACCCACAGTGCAGTGAGAGTACGTGGTAAGGCCTCATTAGATCATAGTTTTTATATAAGTGGTAGATA